TCATAAGCAATGGAAGAATGAATCTCTATGATCTTTTCTTTCTTGCTGCCTTGTTATTCTCTTCCTTCCCCAAACATCCCTGGCATTTTGCATCTACCGATTATTTTCCTCTTGAAATGGCCCTCGCTATGGGACGTAGAGAATGAAGTTTTTTAGGCCCTTACTCCTTGAGGGATGGGTTGGAGGTCCACCTCCAAAACGAAAACAGGGCATCAAAATGAATGGGGCTGGCAGTAAAATAAAATATTATTTGCTGTTTTAAAACCAATGCAATGGATTTGATGTGATAAACCAAATATTGCTGACTTCATAATGAAAGGTGGGATATGCAATCCAGTGATGAGGAAGATTTGGGTTTGTATCTTCTCTTCCATGATCAAGCAGAAGAGTATGAAAAGGGGATCGAGTTTTTATCAAATCCCTGCCTCTCTGCAACTGGCACTTTCTGCAGTCTTAAGATTCTCTCAATTCCCCACATAGATTTTTAGAGGATCCAAGAAGTGGATCCTCAAAAGTCACCTCCATCTTCCACCAGCAAGTTGCTTCAAGGGAATAACTGAACGATATTGTCAGGGGAAAAACCTGATTATGAGCATAGTTGGTGCACTTAATAACAATTGAACAGACAGCATCAGGGGTGGGCTTCAAAATTTCAGGAAAGGGTTCCCTGCCTGACTGCTGGGTGGGTGTGGTCATAGTGGGCGTGGCCTAGGTGGCCTCCCTGTACCACAGCGCAGGGTGTGTTTTTGCCCTCCCCAGGCTCTGGAGGCTTTCCCTGAGCCTCCGGGAGGGTGAAAATGGCCTCCCCAGGCTCCAGAAGCTCTCTGGAAACCGGAAATGGGAGGCCCATTTTTCGCCTTCCCCGAGCCTCCACGTGTGCCCTGAACTTACCTGCATCCAAATGGGCCGTGTGGGGACTCCTGGGAGGGGCGGGAGGGGTAGGCGGGGCCATCCACGAGTGAGATTTGGGGGTTCTCCAAACTGCACTGAATCTTAGCTAGGGGCTCTCCTGAACCTCTGCAAACCCCCAGCAGCCCACCTCTGGACAGGACACCTTTTAAAAAAATCTCACTTTAGAATTTGAAGCATAGCAAACATAGAGCACTTATATTAATCACATTGCAATGAGGGTCAATCAGACAAGCAGTCAAAACGGACGGCTTGAGGCCGATTATTAGTCAATAATAGTAATACCTCCATTATACCTTTATATTTATTATACCTCCATTATTCAACTTTGCCTTTTATACCTTAAAACCACAAATCATGTGACTTTTGAGATCTATCCACACTGTCCTAGCAACAGGGGCAGTTTTCCATTCCTTTAACCTCAATGTTACAACATGGTTATTTTTACATGTACTTTAAGCATACACTTCCTCTTTTCCCATAGCCTCAGCCCCCCTCGTTTCAGCATATACGTAACTACAGTGTCCACGTCAGCTACCATTTCATCAGATGGACATGCTGATTACAAATTTTATTTTATACTTGTATCAGGCGATTAATGCCAATATTGAACCCATCTCAGGCCCCTCAAATTTTACTGTGCTAAAAGAGGGTCCCCATTATTTTCCCCTTACAATATGCTCTCAAGAATTCAGCATCAGCGTTAACTATCTCTCAAAGTGGCCTGCAAAACTGGTAATAAGTTTAATAGCTATAGTATCATGAAACTTAGAACATGACTTTTGTTGTGGGGGAGAGGGGGGTAAGCAGAGTTATGCAGAGTATCATTATTGTTACTCTGCAAAATACACATTGAGTCTGAGTGGTGGGAAGGGTTCAGAGGCTCACCTCTTAGTTTATGTGCTCTACTGTCTAAAAATATGTATGCTTTCTTCTTTTTAGGTAATTGGTGAGCAACAACAGGAAAGATGTAGATCTAGAATCTAGATTCTAGATCAAGGCCATCCTGATGTAGGCTTTCAGGTCCATATAACAAGAGGAACAATCTGGTAGTAAATTACAAAGTCTTTCTATAGTTCCCCAGAGTCACCAGATTGTGTTTTGTTTGTCAATGTCATGATATTGACATAGCATTTGCAAATTATGAATTATGGTTGAGTACAGGGGTTCATAAATGGACTCAATTATCCTTTCCCCAATCTTGAATAATGTCATTTTCATTAGAAAAAAAAAAATCAAGATTTGGTTGTTTTGCACAAGCATCTCAGCAGCAGCAGTCCCAAACTGGATCCTTGATTCACAAACAAGATATTACAAAAGCTCCTTTATACCTAGGATATGCCCAAATAACCACCTTGGGGAATTACCTCCAGCTTATGAGGCTTGGTATATTGTACACACTTGGTACTGCCAAGTTTCTCCCTGCTTGGGCTTAGATTACACTGGGATTGATTCATAAACTCTGCTTTGTCTCTTGACTTGACATGTTGATAAAGTTTAAAGAATATGTTCAGTTTTATGGAAGTTTCTAAAAATTGTGTTGCTGTTGTTCTTTTTGGTTTTATAGCCAGCCACAAAGACAGAGAAGAGAAACACACGGAGCAACACACAAGCAAGGCAGGTATGCAACTAAATTTGAAGTAATAAATGTGAAAATTGAAATTCGTATAGTTTATTTTCTTTCTTATCCCCATATATAAAAGAAAAATTAGTAGAATGGTTTTGCTACTTTAAACGAGAGAACGAGAGGTTTTTTTTTAGGTTGCAGTACTACATGTATTATTTTATTAATTTCAAAACTTGCTAAATTATATTCCTGCAGCATCTGATGGGAGAGTTCCATTTCATTCTTCCTCTAAAACCTAGTCTGCCATTCTCAAACAAGATATTTATCAGACCAAGGGTCTGTGTCCTTCCAGATGTTGTTCTCCGACTCACATTAGTTGTTAAGATCTGGAGGTTCCACTTTTCTAACCCCTTCATGGGATCATCTATTTTTCTTATTAGAATAAAAATTAAAAATATGGATTGATTTCACAACTGCGCTAATTCAGGAGATGGAGAACTAACATATTGGGAAGCTTCTAGGCCAAGGACTGTAAAACTATGCAAGGAAACTCTTGTTTCTTCTTCTTTTGTTGTGTTGTATTCAACATATAGTGGTCTAGAATATGAATATTATATAGACAGAAGTTCTAATAAATGAGTAGAGCTCAGTGGATGGACTCACACCTCATTTCAAGCCATTCTCTAAAAATGAACAGTTATCTGGGTGGAACAACTGCCAATCACTTGGTTGCCCTTACAAATAATATGTAGTATAACACCAACTAAATTCTGGAAGGCCTTTCTTCTTATTTTGATGGGGGATATTTACATGTAGCAAAGCAATCTGAACTTACAAAGACTCCCTATTTAGATATTTTTCAGGCTGGGGAATAGGGGAACCTTCAGTTATTTTGAATTACAGCTCCCAACAATTCTTCCCATGAAGACTGTAGCAGAAGGGAGTTGCAACTCAGGAATTCCTGGGCAGTAACAGTCTTTTTTTAAGGACTAATTTACACATGTATGTACTTTCTTTAATTGCTTCACATTACAGGTCTACTTAGAAAGCAATAGAATGTATGGATTATTGGGTTCGAAGCAGCAAGGGATAGAATTACTTCTGCTAGGCCTTATCTTCAATCTCCTACACTTTTAGCAGAATTAGATGCATCAGTCTAGAATCCAACCTGCTCTTCCACTAACAGAACTGCTTCTGCAGTCAGTCTGAGAAAGGGGCAATGTAGAGAACCCCCTAGAAGATATTTTGTAAGGATGAGGGAGAGGTTTCCAAGAGAAGGAAACAACCACTTTCTTTGTCTAGGGAGATTCTCAGTCATCCAGATCATGGTTGTCCCAAAGGTGCTTTTTCAAGAGGCAACTGGATTCTCTTGTTTTTCTTTGAAGACATTTTGCTTCTCATCTAAGAAGCTTCTTCAGCTCTGACTGGATGATGGAATATAAACCCTTCCATTCCCCACCATCCAGTCAGAGGTGAAAAAGTTTCTTGGATGAGAAGCAAAATGTGTTCAAAGAAAAACAAGAAAGTCCAGTTGCCTCTTGAAAAAAAAAACACCTTTGGGACAACTACTTTCTTATTTAAGTGTGCAGCCTGTTCTTCTACGGAGTACCCTTGTGCATTGCCAAATTAGAAAAAAACAAAATAGGAACAGAGATTTGAACAAGATTTATATATGGTGTTTCAAAGGTAGAGCTGCAACATGGTAAATAATTACTATGGTTTAAATAGCATTCCATGTCTCCATCTCAAATGTGATTGTAACCAGAGGACCTGTTCAGGTACTTCAGATGACACTATGGCTGAGCAATTTCAAGGCAATTGTTATCTTCTAAGTCAGGGCTGTCAAAGTCGCGGCCCGCAGGCCAGATGTGTCACACACTGGCCATGCCCACGCCCAGTTTAGCGAAGTGAGGAAAAGTCGCGATACGTCACATGATGCTGGTGTTCAAAGTACTTGGAGTGCCCCCAGATATTTGGCTTTTGTAGTATTTGCTATTCTACTCTCAGCTCTGTTGAGTTCATAAAGCATTCAAATCTCTTTTTTTGGACTGCAGCTAGATTTTATATTATGCATAGTTCTTTAATAGTTCCCCTTAATCAAATTGTTGCAAAATTACCTTAGAATTTCTTTACAAATGCCACTGCAATGTTATTTGTTCTTGTCTCTCCAGTGCTATTGTTTGGTATATCATTTACCATGTTATCACTTACCCACATGTGGCTCCTACATATTCAGGAATTATCTGATACACCCAGTCTTCTCAGTGAACTCAGGGACTATATCATAGAATCTGGAGAAAATCCTCATTTTTTGAATATTTATGGATATTGTTCATCAGTATAAATTTAAAAAAACGTATTTCTATCCCTCTGATATGTCCTGATTCATTGGGAGCCCAACTCCCATACTTAGAAATAATTGGTTCTTTTTGTTGTCTCCCTGGCATGTAGCCCTATACTTAAACGAAGTCCCGATATCACCAAATCACCGTTGATAAAGTCAGAACAACTTCTCAAAATAGATGACCATGACTTCAGCATGCGGCCAGGCTTTGGAGGTATGATACAGGAGGTTCTCCTGATATTACATTTTTTCCTCCATTGCTTCTTGAAAAAACATTGCATTGATCTTGCACAAAAATGAATAGGAAGAATCACTGTATTCTGTGAAATGTACAGTAAATGTTTGCTTAAATGTGGGACAGTTTTTTTTTCCTGATGCAGTTTTTCAGATTGTAGGCATTTTTCCAATCAATTTTGGAAGAGATTGTTGAAACTTGAATGCATCCTTTTCCAACCTGGTGTCCTTGATATAAGTTTAAATTACAGCTTTTAAGGGTGCAATTATTACTATTAGTTGCAGGGCAGACAGAAATGTGGTATTAGTTGTTTTGCTCACTGCATCCTGGTACTGAGAAATTTAGTGATTGAATTTCTGCCTGTTGTTAAGCTGCAAAAACTGGGTATTATTAATATGAAGGTGGTATGGCAGGGATTTTGGGAAAATGTTTAACGTCTACCTGAAGGCATTGGGTGAGGCCATTTCCCAGCATGGAGCTAAACATGATTAGTATAGTACTAATAATCCTCAGGTGAGGACCATTCATTCAGTGACTTTATGACAGCACTGAATGAGAGGAACTTATGACCAGTCCTTAGAGTTCTGATCATTGAAATGTTCTATGCAGGGGTGGGCTTCAAAACTTTTAGCAACCGGTTTTCTGCCCGGTTCCTGGGTGGGCGTGGCCATGGTGGGCGTGGCCTAGTTGGCCTCCTGCGCCATGGGGGGGGGGGGGGGACATTTTTGCCCTCCCTGGACTCCGGAGGTTTTCCTTGAGGCTCCAGGAGGGTGAAAATGGCCTCCCTGGGTTCTGGAGGCCCTCGGGAGGCTGGAAACGCACCCATTTCCGGCCTTCCAGGACCTCCAGGAGGCCCATTTTTCACCTTCCCCAAGCCTCCACGCAGGCCCTGTACTTACTTGGGATCCAAAATGGGTCCTGGGAGGGGAGGCACAGGGTGGGCGGGGCCAACCAGTGGTGGGATTTTCCAGTTCACTGAACCTGCCATAAAATTAGTTACCGATTAGCTACCAGTTCTCCTGAACTGTGGCAAACCGGTAACAGTCCACCCTGGTTCCGAGATCATGTGTTCAAGATCCAGGTGCTTGGTGCCCAGCTAATGATTACATCACAGTGAGCTGTCATGATTGCAATTTCTGACATTTCTTGCTGGTCCTCACAAACAAAATCAAGGGGGAAGCGAGCAGTAAGTTTGAAGTTTTGGTCCCATGAGGTCTTCGTTTAAGGACACATATAGTCCTCACTGAATAACAGCAACTGGGACTACTAGACCTGCCATCAACAAGCAACATGTTCATGTGACACTGTTATTTATGACATTGCTTATTAACCACAATTCCAGTCCTAATTGCTATTAATGAATGCTGATGATATTAAATTGTACTGAGGATATGCATACACTCCATAGCCAGACTTTTCAGGGGAAAAAGCTGCAATAGTGTAAGTGATTTACAGGAACATCTTGTGATTTTTTTTCCTTGCCAGCTTCCCCACTGACTTTATGATATCAGCAGGGAAGATCACAAATGGCCATTACCTGACTACAAAATACTGCAATACCATCATAAGTGTGTTCCAGTTGCCAAGTATCTAGATTGTGATCTGTGGGGTGCTAGGAGACTGTGAGTTCTAGCCTCACATTAGACATGAAAGCCAGTTGGATCATTCTGGGCTAGTCACTCTCTTTCAGCCCAACCTATCCCACAGGGCTATAGTGGAGAAAATAGGAAGAGGAATAAAAGTATTATTTATTTCTAAAGTAAAAATGGTGGGATAAAATCTAACAAATAAAAGAATTTCAGATGATCCCTGAACAAATGGTAGTTAATTAAAAACTACCTGTCATGTGATGTCTATTTTTGATATTATTGTTTTTGGTTCCTAATGATGTTTTCCACCAAGAATCCCAAACTCTGTGTGGGAGACCTTAAAAATTCCGTATTTTTTTTTTTTTAAAGGCACTGCTTTTTCTCTTTTTGAATATCTATCCTAATGGTTGACATAAATATCCTCTATGTGTATCTAGGCCCTTCAATTCCTGTTGGAGTTGATGTACAAGTTGAAAGTCTGGACAGCATTTCAGAGGTTGACATGGTAAGTATCCATTTTATGATTCAAAATGCAAATGGATAGTTGGAATAGGATTCATTTAGTTGTTCATGAATACACCTGGGATTCCCTGGACTCTTAAGTCATTTATTGAGATCAGCATTGTCTGGAGTTCTCAAGGAGTTATGCATATGTATTCATACATTCATAAGTATTTACATAAATCATAAATTTATCCCAATCCCATAAATGCTCATGAAATTCAATATAAAGTTAGCAATATTGGACCCAGAAGTATGCAACTAGACGCTCCAGGACCATCCTAAAGCTTTATGCAACTCCCTAAAGATTCGTGCAATTGTAATTATTAATAGCAAAAAAGAGATTAATTGTTATAAACATGGATGGATAATCATTGTATCAACAATATTTAATGTTCAATAAATATAAATAAAATGGAATTCAATTTAGGTTTTGTTTGAACCTAATGCTTTTTGAAATGCCATTCAAATGCCACTCATAAATCTTGGCTCAGAAATACCTGAACATAATAGAAAACATTCACAAGCATTATAATCCTTTGAGCCCATTTATAAACATGGGAACTCCCACCAGAGCCTCCTAGAAGAACATCGGAGCTGCTAAGTATCACTTAGGAGTAGTACTTCTGCTTCCATGCAGGGGATGCATTTATGGTAGGATTAATGTAATATAATGCAGCTGTTGACATTTGCATTATCAAAGTGGCTTTTGTTTTAGTTGTACTCATTTAATGGTTTTTATGTTTTTTTTAAAGTTACAAATAAATACCATTCAATCAACTATTTTAAGAGAATTTTTCTCGTTTTTAAGGCACATGAGAATTTTTAAATCTTTTTTTCTGTTTACTCCATTAAGTGCTTAAAGACTTATTTTTTTAGTATTTTTAGTATTTGTGATTAAATAATATTTATGGGAAAAAAGGAAGGATTGGCAGTGAAAATGTCTCTTTTCCATTCTTTAAAATTTTAATTAGGATTTCACCATGACGCTTTACCTGAGACATTACTGGAAAGATGAAAGATTGTCATTTCCAAGTACCAATAACCAAAGTATGACCTTTGATGGCAGGCTTGTGAAAAAGATCTGGGTGCCTGACATGTTCTTTGTCCATTCAAAGCGCTCCTTTATCCATGACACAACGACAGATAATGTTATGCTTCGAGTACAGCCAGATGGGCAAGTGCTTTACAGCTTGAGGTAAGATGTAATCATAATAATAATTGGTCAAAGAAGCAGAAGAAACAGTAGATCATATACTCAGCTCATGCAAGAAGATCACACAAATTGATTATAAACAATGACATAATGGCAGTTGCCAAAATGATTCAGTGGAACATCTGTTAAAATTATCATCTGCCAATAAAGAAAATTGATGAGAACATGCAGATGAAAAAGTAAAAAATGAGCGAGTTAAAATAATGTGGGATTTCTGATAAAGTCTTGACACATAACATACCAGATTTAACTATGGTTGAAAAGAAGAATATGTCAATAATTGACGCTGCGTTACCAGGGGATAACAGAATAGAAGTCAAAGAACTGAGAAGATCATAAACTATCAAGATCTGAAAAGTGAAGCTCAAAGATTATGGCATAAACCCGCAGTGGTCGTCTCAATATGATTATCGCCACACTGGATGCCATTCCAAAATATCTTGGATGTCATTTAGAAAATATGCTCATTGACAAAATTTCCGCCCATGAGTTACAAAAGGTCACACTGCATATACTGCATTGCTGATACATTACAAACATCCTAGATTCTTGGGAAGAACTCAATGTATACAAGGACCAACATCAAACTATAGAAATGGCAAGTGTGATTTCACACTCTTGTGTATATAATCATAATTTAAACTTGCATGCTAACTACTTTCAGTGACTGTTGGTAGCTTACAACAATCAGAGAAATTATAATTAAATTAATTTATTAAAATTATCCATCAAATTGTTGTTGTTACAAATTTAAAAATATTGATAAAATGGGATTTTGAAGATTATATGCTGAAGGGAGTCAGAAGGAATGAAAGATTATAATTAAAGGAGAAGAACACTTACATGTGATTTGCTAACACAGCATGGAGCAAAATGCCTTAACATTTGACATACTGAAAGGTATTTGTGAACAATGGACTCAGAAGTTTGTGGAGATTCTCAGTCATCCTGGTCATTGTTATCCCAAAGGTGATTTTTCAGGAGCTATGCTGGCTGAGGAATTCTGGGAGTTGAAGTCCACAAGTCTTAAACTTGCCAAGTTTGGAGACCTCTGCTCTAAAAGGATGCAGATTACCAGCTGTCTGCAAGGAATATAAATCCTTCCATTCCCCACTATCCTGTCAGAGCTGAAGAAGCTTCTTGGATGAGATGCGAAACATCTTCAAAAGAAAAAAACCAGAAAGTCCAGTTGCCTTCTGAAAAAGCATCTTTGGAATGGACTCAGAAGTTAATTTTAAGAATACCTGCCATCATAGATAAGAGTATGTGTAAATAATGTTATGGAAGGGGAACAATTTCTACTGGACAAGACTGAAATTTGAATTGGATTTTAAAATGACAGGCTACAAGAATGATCTAGAAAAAGATGATATACTAGCTATACGAATGAAACCGGCTGATGTTTTAATACTTAAAAAGGACAAACAAATAACAAACCAGAAGAGTTACTTGGATAATTTTCCTTTATTGGATTTGCAAAGCAGATCTGTTGAAGTGTTGGAAGACTTTGTAAAAAAGAACAAAGGAAAAAGGAAATTAAATCAAGTTATGGGACATTATTTGAAGGAACTAAGAATCAAGATTGTATAAAGGGAAGGAATATAAATGTGGTTTATTTGATCGTAGTTAAAATTGATATTGTTATTTCTAGTAATTATTAATGAATTTTTGCTGACCAGGACTGGATGACAAGGTTTTAAGGATTTGTTTATAGGTAATAGGTGAAATACTGGATGAAGAGTGTTATATCTTAAGGGAAGATGATAAATTGTTAAATTATTTATATTTGTTGTGATGAAGGGGAAGTTCTTTAAGTATTTGTTTTCTCCTTATATTCTTTCCCCCCTATTTTTATATTTTTCTTTTTTTCTGCATTCCATCTTTTCTTTTTATTCTTTGAATTATTTGTAGTTTCCATTAGTTTTTATATATATAATATAACTAGCTCTATCCCTGTGCTTCACAACGAAACTATGTGATCGTGCTTAGTTTGCGGGGAGGAAAATAAGGGGAAAAATTGTGCTTCTGTCTACCAGCATCCATCGGCTAGCGTCCTATCGGTGTGTGAGTTGAGGGCTGTTTGGAGATTGAAACATAGAAACTGAATGTCAGCACAGTATTTGCTGTGTGAACAAGAAGGAGACAGCACAGAGCCTGGGCATGGCTTAGCTCAACTGTTCTGTACTAAAGCTGCTTGGTGCTGTGAAACTAAAACTGAAACTCCTCTCCTCTGCTTGTGTTTTGCATTTAGAACAGATTTCTTTTCAGGTGTGGAGGGGGAGCATCAAAGCATGTTAATAATAATATACAAAATACTAATGCTCTGATGGTCATTTCGAAAAATCCTTTCTTAGTGAGCACCTAGAAGCCAAGAGGAACATGTGTGCCAAATTTCAAGTTTGTAGGCTTTATGGTTGTGGAGATTTTGTGATGATGCTTGAGTGGTATTTCACTTTTATATATATAGATTATAGTTCTTAATAAAATTGTTTTTTTTTTAAAAGAAAGTGCTATAGATGAGGTTGCCTGACGGCATACGGTGAGGCAGAGCTCTAGATCCCTTAGGCCAATCAAGTGATGCTGTGCATGTTTTTTTTCTCAAGACTGGCTGGCTGTGGGTTTCAAAGGCCCATGTTTTTCCATTCTTGGTTATGAATGATGTTGCAGTATTATGAACAGAATTGGTATGCAGTCCGAATATCCTCATGGACTCATGACTCCTTTTTAAAGACTAATTAGCAGTTGTGGCTGGGAAGGCTTTTGCATTCTCACTTTGTGAGCCAGTTGCTTTTCCTGTATTGGAAGCATTTTTCATGGTCACTCCTACCTTAGACACCTCTGAAGCAGATTACTACAGTGTGCTTTAAATGGGGCTGCCTTTGAAGACCATCTGGAAACTGCATCTCGTCCAAAATGTGGTGCCACTGTGCATATTGGCACACCTCAACACATCCATGTTACACCTCTGCCCTGCAAGCTGCATATCTTTACTCAGGAGCAGGTTCCATTACTTAATTTGAGTATATTAAATATTTATACTGCCACTGTTGATATTGCAGTTCTGGGTGTATATCTTACTGAAAGTAATGGAAATTACTATAACCAAGCATGAACAGAATGGCATTTATTATGTAGCAACCCATTAAAAATTGTTTAAAATGGAATGTGGATCTAACCTGCATTATTCCTCTTTTCTTCTCCCATTTCTCATTTTAACACATTAAATATACTTACTGTGTTCTTAGGGTCACTGTAACAGCAATGTGTAACATGGATTTCAGTCGTTTTCCCCTTGACACACAGACATGTTCCCTGGAAATTGAAAGCTGTAAGTAAACAAGTACTTAAAAACCACATATTGATTCCTTAAAACTGACTTCGAAGTAGGTTTGCATGTTATTTTCTCAGGTGTTCTAATACCGTAACTGATACTTGCAGATTCAGTCTTCTCCTTCTTAATCCCTAAGGATCTGTGTCTAGACTGAGTTAGCTATTTCACATAAAACCAACCAACTGTTGTAGCTGTCCAATGGTAGCTGTCCAATTTCAGTGGTAGCTTTGCAATTTCACATTTAGGAAATGTTTCCAGCTTTTTGTTATGCTCCTGTCAATAATATTGAAGGAGTAAAACTTGCCCCTGATCATTAATATTAAGAGTGTTGATTGGACTACAATTGCATAGGGAAGAACTGCTAGCGTGTTCATAATAACAAGAAGTAATTAAGATGCATATAAAATAGACTGAGAGTTGAAATATAAGACATTATTCTATAGCAGGGGTATCAAACTTGATTTCATTGAGGGCCTCATCAGGACTATGTTTGACCTCAGGGAGGAGCGTGGAGTGGGCGTGGCCAGATTGTGCGTGACCAGCATGACGTCACTCGTGTTGGAGGGCACTTGTGGTGGCCCGAACTCTCTGCCAATGAAAGCGGGCTTCCGAGTTCCATTTTTGGCTGCAATGGCCTCCTGCAACCCTCTGCCAGAAAAAACGGAACTCGGGAGGGTTTCACTAGCAGAGGCACCACAGGCTGGTCCTTCACTGTTTCCAGGATGGCCCTGCATGCCAGATCTAAGCACCCCACAGGCTGGATCCAGCCCCTGGGCCTTGAGTTTGACACCCCTGCTCTATGGGTACCAGGCTGCTAAGGACTGGACTAAGCTCTGTGCTGTATATTACCTGGATTCATTGCCATAAATATTTCCTTCCTCTATAGATGCTTATACTGAAGATGATCTCATGCTGTACTGGAAGAATGGGAATGAATCCTTGAAAACAGATGATAGAATATCATTATCTCAGTTCCTTATACAAGAGTTTCACACCACCACCAAACTTGCTTTTTATAGTAGCACAGGTAAGTTTGCTTGGATCACAAGTTTTATTTCAGAAAAAGTCAATAAATCGAATAGGTCAACTAAGGTTTCTTGGAGTGATATACATAGAGGAATTTTGGGAGTCAGTCTTATTTTATACCTAACCCGAACCCTCATTATAGGACATCTAACAACATTATCTTGAAAATCTATATTAACCTTAACTTTGTCATACCCTAAATAGCTATACCACCCAAATTTCAAACCATGTCCTTCTAACTCCAGTAACCTCCTATTCTTCAACCACCCAATGTTTCATCCATACCAAACAACAAACAGCAAAATACAATTTCAAATCAGGTAATCCCAGCTCTCCAACCTTTCTTTAGTATCTTGCAAGGGTTTCTTGTTTTTTGCCTTGCTATACAAATTTAGATATATCTTTTTGCTATGGTTTGAATGATATATTAATCATCCAAGTATTGTCTTGGAAAAACACTCATCTTAAACATGAAATTCTGCTCAATAATGACAATTGCCAACTATCCCACTTCAATAAGCCTTTCTTAATATAATTCCATACCTTAACATTAATGTTCCATAAATAAGTGTGGTTAAATCACCATTCACAATAACATATGCCTTCTGTAATGTATATATTGATTTGATTCCCTGAATAAAATTCTCTCCAAAGTCCATGCTTCCCAAAACTTTAAACATAAATGTCCAATTCAAATTGTCAAAAGCTTTCTCTGTATCTGCAACAATCAGGGCCACTTGCTTCTCATTCTATTGTAGAAAATGCTTTATTATATTCAATACATTTCTCGTGATTTCTTAATTGAAATCAATGTCTTTTGGATAGAAACCCACATTGATCATTATGAATGAAATCCTGTAAAAATTAGTTTATCAGCCAATATAATTGAAAATATGTAATAACCATTATTCAGCAACTACATCAGTCTATAATTCTTGACTGAAGTGAGACATTGTCCTTCCATTGGCAATATTGGCTCTTTCTGGGATTCTGGCATAGCAGACATTTGCAAAATGAAATTCATCACATTTTTAAGAGCTGTAAAAGTTGATTCTCAAAGCATTTATTATATGAGTTCACAACCCATCCAGACTGATGCTTTCCCACTTTTAATCTTTTTTATAGCTTTTGATACTTCAAAGCTTGTTCATAATTTGCTACTGAGGTTGTGAAAGTTTTGGTAGACTGTTTTTTCAAGTACTCATCAATCTTTTCCAGAGAAACTTCCTGTTTGTTATACAAATGTAAATAGAAGTCATGGATAATGAATACTCACATTATCTGTTAGTACAATCTTGCCTTTCTGGATCTTTAATATTATTTTCTTTTCTCTCTTTCTCAGTTCATATGCCAACCATTTCCCTGGTTTATCTGCAAATTCAAAGTTTTTCTATTTCATATAGTTTAGTTTGGTCTCTATTTCTCTTATAATTAGTTAAGATAATTATGGAAGTAAGAGTTTAATTTGATATAAAATAACAGTGTATGTTGGTGCTTTCTGTAAACCTTCCTGTTTCTTAAAGTTCTTTTTTTTCTAGGGATTTCTTTGTTTAGCTCACAATTATGTTGAATGAAATAATCTCATTGCAGCTTTGCTGGTATCTAAGACAGTCATTAAATCCAAATTATAATTAAAAAAATAAAATAATTTTTACAGGCTTATACAATTCTTTTTTTTTTTTTGCAATAGTACTTCATTTAATCTCCATCTAAAAGCTTTAAATTTTTCTCTTGAGTATTAAGATCACTGGATTATAATAAAAAAAACTTATAGGAAAGATATCTACCTTAACTATCTAATTAGCCAACTTTTTGAAACCCATATGATATCAATTATTGAAAAAGTTCTAGGCTTTTTTTGAAAAGAAAGTATATTATCCAGAGTTGCCATTCTTTTATTTCCAAGAATCTACATTTGCCAAATTGTCCATCAGGCCAAAAAATGACTTTTGTAACATTATCTTACAGGCTTTACTAAGAAAGAAAATTTAAGGTATATAATCCAAGAAGATTATGTAATTTAAATATTCATTAATATAAGATTTCCTTGGCAAGATTAATGTTGCATTCAAGAATGGCTTTATAATTGCCCATCAGTACTTAAAAGTGGTGTGCTGAAAAATGTATGCATATTTCAAAGCATAGTACTATGAAAATAAATACTGTAAGAGTTCCATGTTGTTTATATGGTTGTTGTCATTGGTATTCTTCACTCTGATCAGATTCTTCCTCTTCCTCTTGCAGGTTGGTATAACCGTCTCTTCATCAACTTCACATTACGACGACATATCTTCTTCTTCTTGCTTCAGACCTATTTCCCTGCCACTCTGATGGTCATGTTGTCTTGGGTTTCTTTTTGGATAGACCGCCGTGCTGTGCCTGCAAGAGTTCCCTTAGGTATATGATGGAATCCATCTCTGCTTTGTTTAGAACAGCTGCAACCTACGACAGTGTGTGTTGACAATTAGTTGTAATACATGTGGTCCTCGACTTTTGAGCATAATTGAGCCCAAAATTTCTGTTGTTAAGACTCTTGCTCCAGGTTACAACCTTCCTTGCCACAGTTAAGTGAATTGCTGCAGTTGATAAGGTAGCAACTCACTTGTCAAGTGAACATGGCTTCCCCATTGACTTTGCCTTTCAGAAGGTTGTAAAAGGTGATCATATGACCTTGGGAAACATCAATGGTCATAAATATGAACCAGTTGCCAAGCATCTGAATTTTAATCACCTGACCATGAGGATGCTGCATAGGTCATAAGTGTGGAAAATGGTCATAACATTTTTCAGGGTTGTTGTAACTTTGAACTCTCACTAAATGAACTGTTGTATCTTGAGGACTACTTGTATTTTTACCGCCTCTCTTCTTCCCCATAGAAAGCCTTAGCTAGCTTATGGATAAAAAGTAGGTGGGAGCTGATAATAAATAGGTAGGTAGGTAGGTAGGTGGATGGATGGTTGGATAGATATATAGATAAAGATAATCAAAAGGATTAAAGCTATGCCATTTGTATTTAAAGGGGATGATAAATTAGTTGTTTATTTGAAAACAATACTAAGTCCAATGAGTTTTATCAGAGTTAAATTTGCTTTAGACTGCAAATGTGAAATCCCATCCAACAATTATTTTGTCAAAAATAGGTCTTGCTGTTTTCAACAATCTTACTTCCTCCACCAAAGTGTGTCTAGAATGGCAATCCTAGTCTGGTTCTGTACCTCAAAAGCAGAATTAACTATCCTCAAGGCATCTATGTATCAGTCTGAGCAATACTGGGTAGGATGTGTACAAACAGGCTTTAAGTTTCCACTAAAAAGACAGAAACATGAATAAAGATGCCAGGCTATCAGTATAAATAAGACTGCCCTTTGGTGAAATAAATGCATTATTTAAAAATGAGTATCTTCAAATGAAAAATTGTAATGTCCTTAGGTATCACGACGGTACTGACCATGTCTACCATCATCACTGGTGTCAATGCCTCCATGCCTCGAGTTTCCTACATCAAAGCTGTGGACATTTACCTCTGGGTCAGTTTTGTATTTGTCTTCCTCTCAGTATTAGAGTATGCTGCAGTGAACTACCTGACCACGGTGCAAGAGAGAAAAGAACGGAAGCAATGTGAGAAGGTAAATGTGTTAACAACTGAGACATTAATGTGGGTCCTTGTTGCTCTCTGAGCTTGGTTGTTTCCTTGCAGACATTTCATTACCCAACTAGATAATATCATCAGTGTTAGAAGGGAGTGGAGTTCTAGCACAGATGATATATTCTAGTCGGGTAATAAAACATCTGCAAAAAAACAACAAAGCTTAGAGAGCAAAATTCAACCCTAACCTTCAAATATTCTGTTACTTTGGTGAGATGTTAATATAGATGCATAACATGTTTTTTAACTAATCTAAATATTTAAATTTAAAACAAAGTCATATATAATTGTGGTAGGAACTGACCTTAACCAATGGATGTAGTTATGTTGATTTGAATGTCATTCCTTCTCTTTTCTCCACAGCTTTCTTGTGCTTCCGCAATCCCACAGCCAAAGCAAATGACAGGGATGGAAGGCAGCTACAGTGATGGAGAAGTAAATGAATTAGGGCAATATGTGTCTGAAAATGGAGGCAAAGAAGACAGAATGATGGTCCAGTTGGGTCTTGGATCAGAAGGAAATTCAAATAGGAGGAAAATCCAGAGGTATAGCAGCATGAGAATCGACACTCATGCGATTGACAAGTATTCCAGAATAATATTTCCAGGATCATACATTTTATTTAATTTGATATACTGGTCCATTTTTTCATAGTTATTTATTTTCTTTAGCTATTTTTTATGTTTTTGAAACATCATGCATGAATTATCAAGTAAATTTGAAAGTGAAAACTGAATGTTCTTCGTTCTTCCTGATGAAGTTTGGTACTCTAATATGAATATCACTTAAATTGCTCTCCTGTTCATTTTCTTCTGGTTTCAATGGGAAACAGCAAAGAGAAGAGAAAAGCCTACCGTTTGCAAAGGGGATTCTTTGAACAGTTTGCATTTTAAAAGACATATACTAAATTATTACTAAAGGACAAAAGAAGGCAAGAAGATATTTTAAAGTTCTCATCTGAAACTTCTAATTATGGCAATTTTACTTCAGCTACAGAAATGGGTTATATTTTAAATTTTTGTTTTCATGTGTAAATATATTATGTGCCATTAAGTCAGTATTGATTCTTAACAACCATATAGATTCCAGGATGATCTATCTGGTCCATCTGCTGCTGGTTGTCCTCTTTATCTTCCTACATTTCCCAAAATTATTCTCCTCAAAATGTCAGCTTGGCAATTTTTGTTTTGAATAAGAACTTTGCATTGAATTGTTCTATGATCAGTTTGTTTTTTGGCTATTCACAGTATTCTCAGAAGTTGTCTCCAACACCAAAGTTCAAAAGCATCTATATTATTTTTAAAAAATTGTAAATTAAAAAAAACCTCTTTGTAGATAAATTACAAATGTAGATACTCTGCAGCTACTCTGCAAGATTTAATAATCTTAAAAGAATACCTAATACCTAAAAGTATTATGACATGTTAGAAAAACATTTTATGAAGGCCATTTAAGGAATTATTAATACTGCTGGTGCCTAAATTGAATGGTTTTTTTTTTTTGTTTAAATCAACAATTCTGACATTTTAAAGGAGACAGAGATATATATTAAAAAATGGCATCAGCTTTGTGGATTACTCTGATGCATTTTATGGGATTATTGTAAGCAGTATCACAGATGACATGTTCTACTTAATTGAATCCTTTTTTTACTACAATGCCCTATGTATGGCAAGGGTGATGAACCTGTGACCATATAAACGCTGAACTACATTTCCCAACTTCCTTGAGGACTGGGATTGTTGGGAGCTGTGATCCAATAGCACATGGAATGTTATAATTCCGTTTCCGACTTCCAGAAATTTGTCAGCTTAAATATAGGTCATGAATATTTAAAACACTGTAATAGTTATATATTCTGATTCCAGCAGAAGGGTTCCTTCTATGAACACGAGGTTTTTGGACAACAATGGAGGAAACAGCACTAGGGTGGCAGAGATCATTCACATTGAAAGCTCCCCTTCTTTTCTTTTGACATTGTTGCACTGGACAACATTTTTCTAAGTAAAGAAGCAGCTGTTTAGTCTCCAAGCTCTCCATTGGATATATCACATGACCTTAAATATAAAGAAATATTGTTTACATGTTAATTAAAAAATAAGGTGATGCATTGAATTTTATGTAAGCATTAAAACCGAAGCTAGTATTTTCTTCTAACCAATTTTCAAATAAATAAAAGTTTTTATTCAGATATCACAATCCTTATGTTTCAAATCCAGGTAGGTTTTGAAATATTAAAAAACACTTCCATTTTTTTGTTTTTGGTGTGTGATTTTTTTCTTTTTTGCTAGAAGACCTGTTACTATTTAAGAGCAACAATTGTGATCCTAAAATAATTAGTACTTTGCAAGAGCTAGAACCAAGCAGATGAACGGTTCCCAAATTTAGACTTAAAATTTCAACCTGTAGAAATGGCAGAAACATCCTGTAAGAATCTTCAACCCTTAAGAGATAGGTAAAGAATGAAACCTAGCAGATTTATGCAAATTTGTTCATTGAAAATATGTTGTCGGCATAGAATTTGAATTATCTAAATGCAAAATTTCCATTTATTTTAACTCTGACTTGTACCCACAGACCTGGAAGTAAGTTTCAAAAAAATCCAAAAATATTTGTGCGAAGATCAGATTTTACTCTCTCACATTTCTTTTTCTGCTAAGAGCTTTGCTTGTCTGAAACTTGGTTCCTATAAGTTTGGTACAAAAATTATATTTACTGCAATCATTGCCATAATGTTTTAGTTGTCCCCAAGTATTATTTATCTACTTCTGACCCTGAAGATAAATCAAAATATAAACTAGGTATACCAACAAAGGAGAATGTTTGTAGCTCAGAATTGAATTGTGGAATCTGTATTGTCCTGAGTTTGATCGTTTTCTCGCAGAGGTTTCATTACCCAATGAAAAGTGATTATGTATAGTTTTGCACTTTAGTGACTTTCAGACAAACAGAAATATGATGCCTAAATGAAACTGAATTAACATTACTAATCAGCAGGCTGAATGAATGTATGGTTCAGAGCAACTGAACCAATATTAAAATAGGAATTAATTTCAGGAATATCATAGGAAACATTCCCTGAATCAGTGGAACTGCTTTATTTTAAAAACAAAGCAGATGGTTTCAAATCAGTCAATTGCTTAGGCTGTTTAAACCAGGGGTGAGATTCTACCAGTTCGCACCTATTCAGTAGAACCGGTTGTTATCATTCTAAGCAGTTCGGAGAACCGGTTGTTAGAAGAAATCACTGGCCTAATCCTGTAAGGAAGGCAGGAAGGAAACATTCTGGTGTTGCTTACAGAAACTGCCTCTCCGTTAACCCTTATTACGTTCTTGGCAGGACTAGACTTCCTGTTCCCAGGAACTTCTCCGGAGTTTTTTTCCCCTCCTTTGCTGGTACTGTGCTTGTGTGGAGTGACCATTCAAAGTTACAATGGCACTGAAAAAAGTGACTTATGATCATTTTTCACACTTACAACTGTTGCAACATCCCCACAGTCATGAGAGGCGAGGCGAGGAGACGCATGCCTTGATGTGAGTGATATTGAGTTGGCCACACCCAGCCAAAAACATGACCATCAAGCCACGCCCACCAACTTAGCCACGCCCACAGAACCAGTTGTTAACAAATTTGAATCCCACCCCTAGTTTAAACCCATGGGAAAACAAAGTCCAACATCTGGAATAAGAAACATTCTTTTCCTGATTTAGTAGCAAAACCTGTTACTATTAACTTCAATGAAATTGTATTTTACTGGGCAGTAGATTTATTGGATGATACCTGAAGTCACTGACACTCATCCACTGTAGAAAAAACAATTCAAAGTTTTTAAAAAGCGTCTCAATTTTTTTGCTAACACACATGCTTTCTTATCTCCAAACAAATAAGTAAATTATGAGTCATCAAGTAATTTTTAATTCCTAGAAACCATATAGATTTTTATGTATAATTTTTATTGAAAAAAATTACATACATAAAAGATAAACATGAATATATGGAAAAGTTAAAAAGTGAAAAAAGCAATAAAGAAAAAAAAAACCTCAAGAAGCAACTTCTGATCTTCTTTGTAGAAGTTACAAATAAAGTTATTATCCCTCTTCTATTTTTCATATCACATTAGAGATTCCTCCTGTCCCATATCCAACCCCCTTTTCAATTAATAAACCCCAAAATCACCATTTCACCTTCAGTATTTCTCCATTGTTGGGCAGACATAGATTTTTCTCCATGTTCTGTCCCTAACCTGGTCTTTTAGATCTTCCAGTGGTGCACTCATCGCCATTATAATTGAATCCATCCATCTTGCTGCTGGTCATCTTCTGTTTTTTTCCCACTTTTTCAGCATTGGAGTCTTCTCCACTGAGTTAGGTCTTCATATAATATGAACCAAGTATATCAATTTGAGCCTGAATCATCGAAAAAGTATTGTATTATAGTACAAAAATGTTTTGTTTAGAGCATTCTAAAGAATTAAGAATTACCCTGTCAATGGCAGACTAATAAGTCAAAGGAAATAATGCTTGCCTATCTTCATATATTCACGAATTTCCTCTCTCTCTTACACATATATAGAATACCAATAAGAGGAATAACTGCTATAAATGTTCCCCTGGTTTGGGGATGTGGTGAAAAATGGTGGGCTTAGGTACCTTCATATACAAAATTCATTTCCAGGTGCTGATTGCCTATCTTATCTCATCTATTTAATATATGGAGCAGCTTGTCCTCACATACAGAGAGACGTTATATTTTCTGCGTTCAGAATTCTTTCTTACCTTGGTGAAAGAGAACAGACTATCCTATACTGCCTATGAAACAATCCTTCATAGACTTCTAGTCATTTGGCATAATAAAATACACTATTGAATATGCTCACTCTTTTCACTGAAAGAATGAGTGAACTCCCGCGATTTTCAGAGGTTAACAATCAAAAGTCTGTCTTACCAATGAAGCAGCATATACAGCTTTGTTAGAAAACTCCATACTAATGCTCCCTATTCTCCAAGCTTTTTTTTTCTGAAGCACATTGTAAAAATCTGGACAGCTGACATACAACTCTACTTAGAAACTTACAATAGAACCATGCACAGTGATAAAATGGGGTCTCAGATTCAAAATGTACATTCTAAATTAAACTAGAATTCATCTATTTTAAGTGGTACTTATAATAAAATTAAGGAGTTTTGCAAACCATTTTTATTAAGATTTCTTTTATTGAGATAGATCCTTTCGGTCACGCAACTACAGTAGAAGGCCAAGATTAAGATTAATTTATCTGATCAAAATAATTTTCAAGTACCGCAAAGGAACCTTTCTGAAGCTACAAAAAGATATAACCCAAATACTGGATTAATCATGTCTGGAGTAGAACAGTCCTGTGTAGTGTTGTGGTTAAAATGCTGGATTAAGGGCAAAAGGTCCAAGGTTATTTAGCTTATCATTCTTTCTCAGCCAACCTCCCTCTTAGAGTGTTCCGGGAGGAAATAGGACAGAGCATTAACTACACTGACTTCAGCTCTTGGATGAAAAGAGGATATAATCAAATAAAGACTATGCAAGCAATGAATGATACTAATTATCTCCCTCTGTAAATATATTGTAACAGTTGTTTCAATTCAAAATCACAATTAATATTCAGCTTTGAGCAGCGTTT